GCAAGGCACAGGACAGGGTGTCATCTTTAGGAAGCGGAAACCAAACCATAGCCTGCGCAAGGTACACAGCACACTCATGTTACAAAGCGTGGCCCAGAGAGAGTTTGGTGGGTGATAAAACTACTTTTTTTTAAAAAAAACAAAAAAACGAGGGCTTAACAAAAACACAAAGATGCTGAAACTGGTTTGGCTGAGTGGATCAGGCGTCTTCAAACTACGGCCCGAGGGCCACATGCGGCCCGCAGAGGAGTCTGATCCGGCCCCCCAGGTTTTTTGGGCAGTGAGCGCAGCCGAGGTGTTACAGTAGGAATTAGTAGTTCATATAGTCCGGTCCTCCAGCTCTCTGAGGGACCGTGATCTGGCCCCCACTTTAAAAAGTTTGAGGACCCCTGGAGAGCATCGACCTGCGGACCGAAGGGTCCCAGGTTCGATTCCAGTCAGGGGCATATACCTTGGTTGCGGGCACATCCCCAGTGGGGGATGTGCAGGAGGCAGCTGATCGATGTCTCTCTCTCTCATCGATGTTTCTAACTCTCTATCCCTCTCTCTTCCTCTCTGTAAAAAAAAAATCAATACAAATATATTAAAAACAAACAAAAAACACAAAGATCAAGCTGGTGGTTCATGCTGGGATAGCCTGTCAGTTCCCTGGTGTTCATGTTATGACTTTATCATAGAAGTGCCTCTTGATGACAAGTTTTCTCATGTATCAAATATTTCATCATTAAAACCACCAAAGGCGCTGCAGCTATCAATCATTCCCCAAGCCCCAGGCCTGCACGTTAGGGCCTGGCTCCCATGGTCCTCACGGGCAATGCTGCCGCGCCTGCCACAGGGCCAGCTGCTCAGGGCTCAGGCAGCCCGATGACTGGGCTGCTGCTCGGCGTGGTGAGGTCAAAGGGTCAAAGGTTAGGAGTGACTGTTGTGTCCTTCCCTGCTCTGGGATTTCTGTCCCCCCCCTCCCCCACCCAATCCTGACCCAAGTGCTTCAGCGAGCTGATTCCCGCCTCTCCGTGGGCCTGTCCACTGGGATGTGCATGCCTGGAGTCCACCTGTCCAACCCAGCCCCGCCCACCAACTTCCTTCTGCTCATCCACCTGGCCCACAAATACTTCCTGAGCACCTACTACGTGCCGGGTACCGTTCTCAGTCTGGGGTGCAGCTGTGAACAAAACCACGCAGGAATCCCTGCCCTCCTGGTGGTTACGTTCTAGTGAGGGGAGGCAGGAAAGAAATTCTAAGGTAACAACTACAAGTCAGGTGGCAAGAAGAAAACCACAGCAGGGTGAGAGGTGAGGGAGCGAAGAGTTTGTATAGCTAGCTGGTCAGGGAGGGCCTCTCTGAGGAGGTGACCTTGGGCAGAGACCTCATGAAAGGGAGGGAGGGAGAGAGGATGGGGAGGGGGGAGAGGGTACGTCGGGAAGAGCCTTCCAGGCTGAGGGAGGGAAGGGAGGCACCAGGGCAAAGGCCCGGCAGACCCAAACCACGTGTTCTGAACAGGACCTGTGAACCAGCCTAGGACAGTATAAACTGGAAGGCTGGGAGAATTTTAATCACATTGCAAGGTCAGGTGCCAGCCTGAATTTGGGGAAGGAAGTGATTGAAGTCCAGTTTAGTGATCACCCTGAGTCTATGAAGGAGCTGGGTTGTGAGATATGGAGACTGAAAAGGAATGGAGAGTTGATATGTCAGGAGTAACACCTATAGGGTGGAGTGTGGAGAGAGGGTCTGTCCGCTTCCCCTGAGCTCTCCCCCATCCCGCCCAGCCAGTTCTCACTCCTCCCCCTGCCTCGGTCCCCCTCTTCCTCTGCTCTAGTTGTGCAGGGGACCTAGGCTTTCGGAAAAGAGGAACAGGAGGTTCCCAGACCACAGCGGCACCCCCATTTGCGCTGGCCTTTGCTCTGAGGCTCTGCCTGGCTCCCCGTCACAGACAAGCCAGCTTTTCTTACGAAATTAGCCTGAAGCCATCTTCTAGGCTGGATTCAGCTACAGACTGTGATTTCTCACATTCTTGTCAAACCTGTAATCCTAATGCCTGGAAAGATGTTGGCTTAATGACTATCATTCGCACCAATGACCTCCCACGCTGGAAACTCCCTCAGTGCCACCTACAGGTGAGCTCGCCTGGCAAACAATCTGGGGATCTTCTCCTCGTGCCATGCGTTGCCCCTGTGGGTGTTGTTGTGACAGCTGCCGGAGCAGCCTGGGCAGCGGGCGAGGATCAGACCTCGCGGGGGTGGGAAGGAGCCCCAGACAGAGAGGTCCCGCTCTCCGGCTCCACGCAGGGAAGGCTCAGACAGTTCTTTCCTTCTGTGGGTCAGGCTGACAAGCAACCTCTGCGCTCAAGCAAACGGCCCAAAGAGTCCTCTGGTGGGAAGAGCCCATGGTGGCCGCAGTGAAGGTGGAAGCCTCGCAGGCAGTCGCTGTTGTATGTTTATTATTGTGCTGAACCCTCAAGGAAACCAACTGAAGGCTGATTCTAGACCTTGGAGATCTCCAGCTTCATTCATTCATCCATTCATTCATTCATCCATTCATCACTCTCTTACTCAAGCTCCTGCACTGGGTGGAAAGGGTACAGAGACACGGAATGACAGCTCAGCTCACATGTATTGCACTCTTAAGGCAAACCAACACCATTTAAAAAATATATATATTTTATTGATATTTTACAGAGAGGAAGGGAGAGAGATAGAGAGCTAGAAACATCGATGAGAGAGAAACATCGACCAGCTGCCTCTTGCACACCCCCTACCGGGGATGTGCCTGCAACCAAGGTACATGCCCTTGACCGGAATCGAACCTGGGACCTCTCAGTCCGCAGATTGAACCAAACCGGTTTCGGTGAAACCAACACCATTTCGTTGCCTTTCCTGTATAAGCTCATTTAATTCTCAGCCAGCTCTGCGGGATAGGCATCACAGCTGAGGTGCTGTAGGTGTGGAAGGCATGGGGAGGTTAAATTCCACTGCCCAAGCCGAGTCAGGGTTCGAGCTCCACTTTGCCCTTGTGGAACCACAGGCCTCGTCCTAGAGCTTACCAGCTGGCCGGGCAGAGAGATAGACACGAACACTGTACACAACAGGGCAGCAGCTGAGGCCGGATAAGCATTACCTGCTATTACGGCTGCAGAGGGTCCCTTGGGAATACACATGGATGACCTTTAAATTAATGTCAGCTGAGTCCGAGGTGACTGGCATGGCAACAGCCCCCAGAAACAGCCTCCCAAAATGTGGGAGACCGGTTATCAGTACTGATTTCTTATCTTTATCCCTGTGCTAGGAACGAGGAACAAATAGGACCTTGACTTACCCAGGTCTTGATATGCTAAATCCCAGGAGTGAGGGAATGAATAGGACCTGGGCACACCCAAAAGTTCTTTGACCTTAACCTCCCCCTCCCCCTCCTCCTCTCTGGAAATCAATAAATGCGCTGTGTTGCCTGTGGTGGGTGGTTGACTGTCCCTCCATCAGACTGGCAGTCCCCCACCGGGATCCCAGCTTGAATCTATTTCTGTGTCTTGGTCTCTCTCTTTTTTTCTCTTTAATTTCTTAATCCCCAGCTCCTCCGCTCAGGAACCTGTCGTTTTCTGTGCAGGTCGCGGAAAACAGAGAAACAGAGGAGACTCCACTGCGATGGGACCACCCGGGGTCTGTCAGATGTGGAGCAAGGCTTTGCGGTGACCTTTGGGCTGAGCAAGGCTTCGCGGTGACCTTTGGGCTGGGTCTCAAAGAACGAACAGGTACTTCCCTCCTGGACCAGAGGGGAGAGAACATTCCAGGCCAACCTCTGGAGAGACAGACCACTGTGCTAGAGAGGACAAGATAGGGGTCTGGGGGGAGGAGAAATTCCTCCAGTGGAGATTCCTTCGCCTCCCCTCCCTGTCCCCCCATGGGTGGAACCAAAGGGACCAGGGCACCAAAGCGCCCCCTGTTGAAACTTTCACATTCTTACCTCTCCCCCCCCCCCCCCCCTCGGGCTGTCTACAGCGTCTGAGGCCCTTCGGGTCCACCTTTACCTTGTTGGCCTTGGGGAGGGGGGTGCCTGAAGGTTATGCTGGTCCCAGCAAAAGGTACCTCCTGGTGTTCCCTCATCACCTCTCTCAGTGTCTGCATTTCCGATTCCTCCCTGGTAAACGGGGGCCTCCACTGCTGCGGGCTCTTTCCCACACCCAGGGCTGCTGCTGGCGACTCTGCATGGAGAGCTCCTGGGAGGCGAGGCCAGGAAGGGAAGCTGCTGCTGGTGGCTGGGTTGCTTCCTCATACCTGGAGTTCCATCCTCAGGGGGATCTGAACTCCATCGAGGCCGGAATGCTGTCTGTTTGGTTCTCCACTTCACCCCCAGCACCTAAAACAGTGCCTGGCACCCGGCAGGTGATCACCACATAGCTATGGAATAGCTGAAAGCAGGCCCAGCGGGGCACCTGCCCCCAGCCCTGGGTCTCCTGCCCCCAGCCCTGGGCCTCCTGCCCCCAGCCCTGGGCCTCCTGCCCCCAGCCCTGGGTCTCAGGGGCCATGACGAGGGAACCCCACTGGTGACTGCATTCTATCCAGAGCCAAGGCAGCTGGCTCCCGGCTCAGTTCACCTCCACAGACAGCCACGGGGCTGCTACCCGGGCAGGTGCTGAGTCTGCCAGGCCTGGACGCCCTGCCCACCTGCTGCTGGGTGGCGGCCAAGGTGCCCGGGCAGAGGGGGCCTCCTTAGGGCATCTGCCACCCAGGCCCAGATGGAGCTGCTGGACACCCGAGCCGGCAGGACGAGCCCAGGCAGGCGGGTCTCCACACCTGCCCCATCCCGGCCCCAATGCTCACAGCCGAGCCAGCCTGCGCGGTGACCTTTCCTGGGGTCGCTGGCCTCTCCAGGCCCCGCCTGCGCCCCGGCCGGCGCGGCTGCGGTTCCGGCCCTGGCCGCCAGGGGCCGCTCCTCCCGCCGCCGCGCCTCCCCGCCCCTCGCCGGGCCGGCGCTCCCGTTACGCCGGAGCCGGAGCCGGAGCCGGAGCCCGAGCCCAGCCCGCGGCGGCGGCGGCGGGAGCGGCGAGGGGCGCGGGCGGCGGCGGCGGCGGCGGGGCCTGCGGGGCCTGCGCGGGCGGGCGGGCGGGCGCGCGCCATGGCCTCCAAGAAGGCGGGCTCGCGGCTGGAGACGGAGATCGAACGCTGCCGCTCCGAGTGCCAGTGGGAGCGGATCCCCGAGCTCGTCAAGCAGCTGTCCGCCAAGCTCATCGCCAACGGTAGGCGCCGGGCTGGGGCCGGCGGCGGGAGCGGGAGCGGGGCCTGCGGCGGCGGCGGCGGCGGCGGGCCGGCCCGGGGCGCAGCGGGGCGGGCGGGGCGCAGCGGGGCCGCCGGGCGCGGGAGGGGAGGGGAGGGGAGGGGGCCGGGGCCTGGGCAGCCGGGGTCCCCGGGAGTCAGTTCCGCGTGGGGTGTCCTGCCGGCCAGGGCTCCTGTGCAGTCGGTGGGTGGAGGGGTCTCAGGAGCCCGGTGCTGACCAGGGGGTCAGCGGCCGGCCTTGGGGTTGGGAGAAGTTGGGGGTGATGGGGAAGGCTGCTGCTCCCCAGGACATGGGTGTGTGTGTGTGTGTGTGTGTGTGTGTGTGTGCGCGCCTGGGGCTCCAGGCTGTGTACATGGGGTCCTCAGGCTGTCAGGCCCCGTGTGTATAGGGGTGCTGATCAGAGACCCCCGGGAGCTAACGGTTTGTAAACACAAGGGGGAAGAGGGCTGCAGGGGGGAGCTCGGGCCTGGGCTCAGGGTGTGGGGCGGTGGAGGCGGGCGGAGATGATGGTCCTGGGGCCGAGTAGGATGTGCAAGCTGTGGACCTAGGGAGCCAGGTTTAGGGATACAGACTGGGGAAATAGAGGCAGGGAGTCAGGGGGGGGGACAGCGCTGGAGAGAGAGGTGGGAATGTGGTTGAGGAATGCTGGGGAATGGGGTTGGCTGGTGAGGGCCTTGGAGCCGAGGGGAGCGGGGTCTGTGGGGGTCACTGAGCGGGAACCTGGTGCCTGGAGTCAGCCCGTGACCCCGCTGCCTGGACTGGTGCTTGTCCCCAACGAAATCCAAATCGCATCGGAAAAGCCCGTGTCCCAGCATCGCCACCCCGCTTGGTCTTATTTGTTTTGGAAGCAAGTGCTGTTGGTATCTGCTTGTCTGTTGGCACCTGCCAAATCCACAGGCCCCGGCGGGGCGGACCGGTGAGAGGGCAGAGGTTTTGTCCCGGCTCACCTCCGGCTTCCTGAGGCCCGAACAAAGGCGTGAAGGAAGGAATGCATGAGGGACAGCGCTGCACGGAAGGGCAGCCGCACTGTTTCCGACCTTCTCACCTCAAAGGACCCGGACGCGGAGAGCGGATGTCACATGTCCTCTTCAGGAATGGCTCACGTGTGTGCTTTTCATGGTCTTCTTGCCTCGAAATAAGGACTGGTTGTGCGTACTCTCGGCCGCGGGAGCCCCTCCCCACCATGCTCTGAGTAGGTTTCTTCCTGGGCGAATGCAGGTGTCAGGACCGAGGCAGGGACATGGAGGAGGCCCAGCCCTGCCTGGGCTCAGCCTGCTGGGGGGAACGGAAGGATCGATGCTTTGCGGTGAAGCCATCACCGGAGGGGAGGGCGTTCGGTCCCGTGGGCGCCCCTGGCAGTGGGACCCTGTCCTTCCTGGGAGGCCCTCGGGCGTGTCCTTTCGCCTCTCCTCTTCTTACCTGCAGCGTTTTCTCGTTTCTTCTTGGAGTTGGGTTTGCTTTGTCGCTTCCCAGCTACGCGGGCAGGTAATACCTTGAGGGTGTTGGATGACCACGCTAGGATTAAACGGGTTCATTGGTGAGGCCCCTGGGTTTTTCCCGTGAGAGCCACTTGCTTCCTGCTTTATTTGCTCCTTTATTCAGCCAGCATATGCGGGCCCACCACTGGCCAAGCCCCTAAGCTGGTAAGCTTACCCTCCTTTGAGGAGTCGGACGATAAATACGGGAATTGATAAGTAGGGTGCCTTCAGATAGTTTGCGATTTAAAGCAAACAGAGGCATTAACGCAGCTGAGAGGGATGGGTAGGGGGAGAAGGGCGGCTCCAACCACAGTGGTCTCTGGAATGAGGGGGAATGGGCTTCCCACCCTCAGTGGATAGAGCGTTAGCCTGTGGACTGAAAGGTCCCAGGTTCGATTCCGGTCAAGGGCATGTACCTTGGTTGCGGGCACATCCCCAGTAGGGGGTGTGCAGGAGGCAGCTGATTGATGTTTCTCTTTCATGGATGTTTCTGCCTCTCTATCCCTCTCCCTTCCTCTCTGTAAAAAATCAATAAAAAATATATATATTTTTTTAAAAAGAAATGGGCTTCCGGTGCCATGGGCCTATCTGACCTTCACGGCCCTCTGGACTCGTCTCCCTTCCCGGGGCCTTGTCCTGGGGCCTGAGCCACCGTCATTAATGGAAGTGAGTTGTGAGGGGCATTGTGGTCCATGGGTCTGAGTGCAAGGCTGGTTTTGGGAAACTCACAAGAGAGAGATTCCTGCCCCAGAACCCACATGGTGGGCAGCAGCCATGGATGGCAGAAGGTCACCAGACCTGAAAAGGTCTAAGAGATTGCTCAGGAAGATTTAAAAAGAGAGAAGCAAAGAAAAAGATGAAGTAGAAACAGAATTATTGTGGCCACTCCTTTGGGGTTCAGAGAAATGTTTGAAGGAAGTTCTTTTCCTTCCTTTGGCTGATAGGGGCTCCCTTGAACCCGTCGTGGGCCTTCCTCCTGGCCTTGGGGGCATCAGCCCCTCCTTAGATCCTTTGGACCTCAAGTTCTGGGCGGATTTGAGAAAATCCTTAAGCTAAAGCATCTATTGCTTAGAATAAGGAAAGTGAGTTAATGCCGTGTTTATAATATTAAGATTATCCGAGCCCGAGTATCCTCATCTTAGAATGGGGATGAAAAGCCTACCTTGGGTCCGACTGGTGTGGCTCAGTGGTTGAGCGTTGACCCATGAGCCAGGAGGTCACAGTTTGACTCCCGGTCAGGAATCAGGTCCCACGCCCAGGCTTCAGGTTTCGGGCTCGATCCCCAGTTAGGGAGTGTTCAGGAGGCAGCGCATCGATGATTCTCTCTCATCGTTCGTTGATGTTTCTGTCTTTCTCTCCCTCTCCATTCCTCTCTCTGAAATCAATAAAAACATAGATGTAAAAAGAGGGGGCAGTTAATGGTGGGCTGGCCGCAGGGTCTCCTTTGGAAACAAGGAAGAGGTTTAACTGAGAGTCCCGGGTGAGACGGTGGCTCTCTGGTTTAGAATGACCCCCGGGAATAGCAGTCCCCTGCCCTCAGACACCAGGACCCCCGTGACCCTCCGTCCTGACCTTCCTGGGGCAATCACCCCGCTTTCAGATCTCTGTCCTGTTGTAGGACATGCTTTTGTGGCAGACCATGCAGCCTGATTTTTAAATTCAAAACACTCACTAATTTGACAGGAACAACGGATGGCTCTCAGTGGGCATTGGAGCTCATGGTCACTGCAGTCAGGACGGAAGGGCTGTGACCTGTGGCCTCACACAGAGGGGCCAGGCCTGCTCAACGTTCCCCCCAGCTCCTGTTTGGAGGCCTGTCAGGCTCTGAATGGGGAGGGAGGAGGATTTCTGACATTCCTTCCCTCGATCAGCCCCCCCCCCCCCTCCCCCGCCTGGAGGGCCTCCTGGGTCCGCTCACTCACCTGGTTATTGTCTTCCCTCCGGGGCTGGCGCTGGAGGCTCTCTGCAGGCCAGAAGCCTGCCCGCCTGGCAGGTCTGGTTCGGATCCTCCCGCCTGTCCTTGCTTCACAGGAAAGATTGTTTGCCTCAAAGAAGACAATCCTACATTGTCAGAACCAGATGGGACCTGAGAGACCACATTGTATAGCCGTTTTCTTTTCATATACATATATATACATATATATATATATATATATATATATATATATATATATATGTATGTATGTATTTTTTTTAACCTAAGTCATTTTCTTTCTTTTTTTAAAAAAATATATTTTATTGCCGGGACCGGTTTGGCTCAGTGGATAGAGCATTGGCCTGCGGGCTGAAAGGTCCCAGGTTCGATTCCCGGCAAGGGCATGTACCTTGGTTGCGGGCACATCCCCATTAGGGGGTGTGCAAGAGGCAGCTGGTCGATGATTCTCTCTCATTGACGTTTCTAACTTTCTATCCCTCTCTCTTCATCTCTGTGAAAAATCAATAAAATATATTTAAAAAAATATATATATATATTTTATTGATTCTTTAGAGAGAGGAGGAGAGAGGGATAGAGAGCTAGAAACGTCAATGAGAGAGAAACATCGACCAGCTGCCTCTTGCACACCCCCTACCGGGGATGTGCCCGCAACCAATGTACATGCCCTTGGCCGGAATCGAACCTGGGACCTTTCAGTCCGCAGACCGACACTCTACCACTGAGCCAAACCGGTTTCGGCTATATATATACATACATATATATACACACACACATATATACATACATATACATATATACAATATATTATATATACATACATATATATATTATTATTTTTTAATTGATTTTAGAGAGAGAAGGGATGGGGGGAGCGTGAGAATGAAAACGTCGACGCAAGAAAGAAAAATCGATTGGCTGCCTCCTGGTGATCGAACTCGTAGTTCTTTGGTGCATGGGATGATGCTCAGCCCATTGAGCCACACCGTCCAGGGCTGTATAGCAGTTTTCAAACTGTGCTGTGGCGGAACCCCACCGGAACATGCTTTTGGGTCCTGCTGGCTGGTGGGCAGGTCTCACTCCCTGGAGCAGTACACTTCTCAGGAAAGTTTCCCTTGAAGGGACAACTCATAGGCTCAAAAAACAAAATCCACGGATGTAGTTCAGCCTCCCCATCTGACAGATGAGAATACAGGTCCCGAGAGGGAGGTGTCTTCCTGTAAGCCACCAGCCAGCGAGTGGCAGAAGCAGGCAGCGTGGGTCCGAGGTCTGGCCCCAGGGTTCAGTTGTGTCAGCGTGAAGGGTGGTTGGCTCTGTGGTTTCCTAACCAAGAGAGTAACTTCATTGGAGAAACCCTATAGGTACTGTGTTGCCACACCCCTCCCCTCCCCAAATCCCTTTTCTGAAACCCTTGGGGCCACCTATGTTTCAGAATCCAGAAATTTTCAGCCCTGGCTGGTGTGGCTCAGTGGGTTGGGCATCATCCCATGTGCTGATAGATCGCCAGTTCGATTCCCGATGAGGGGACATGCTTGGGTTACAGCTTAATCC